CAGGAGGTCCAGCGGCGGGGCCAGGGTACGAAGGCCCCGCACTGTTGGCCCCCCCACCCCAGCACTAGGGATACAGAGCATCCCTTGCCCCAGACCGAGAGTTCCTATCTATACCTTGTGGCTAACAGCCACTGATGGACTTCTGCTCCATATAAGAACATAAGAGACGCCAATGTTGGATCAGGCCAAAGGCCCACCCAGTCCAACACTCTGTGTCACACAGTGGCCAGAAATACCAGGTGCTATCAGGAGGTCTACCGGTGGGGCCAGGACACTAGAAGCCCTCCCACTGCCGCCTCCCCCCCCCAAGCACCAAGAAGACAGAGCATCACTTGCCCCAGAGCCCCTATCTTTACCTTGTGGCTAATAGCCACTGATGGACCTCTGCTCCATATGCTTATCTGATTAGCTCTTGAAGCCATTCATGCTTGTAGCTGCTGCCGCCTCCTGGGGCAATGAATTCCACGTGTGAATCACTCTTTAGGTGAGGAAGGACTTCTTTTTATCCGTTCTAACCCGACTGCTCAGCAATTTCATGGCGTGCCCACAAGTTCTTGTATTGTGAGAAAGGGATAAAAGTACCTCTTTCTCTACCTGCTCTTTCCCATGCATAATCTTATAAACCTCGATCATGTCACCTCCTCAGCCGTTGTTTTCTCCAAGCTAAAGAGCCCCAAGCGTTTTAGCCTTTCTTCATAGGGAAAGTGTTCCAACCCTTTTATCATTCTAGTTGCACTTTCCTGCACTTTTCCCAATGCTATAATATCCTTTTGGAGGTTTGGTGACCAGAACGGTACACAGTACTCCAGATGAGGTTGCACCATCGGGCCAGTCCCGGTTCTCTCAGAACTCCCTCAGCCCCACCTGCCTCACGAGGGGCCTGTTGCAGACAGAGGGAGGGAAGGCGATTGTAAGCTGCTTTGAGACTTCTTTGGGTAGAGAAAAGCGAGGTATAAAACCTGACTCTTCTTCGTCTTCTGGTTTACCCAGCTCGTGCTCCAGGGGCCAGGTCCGGTCCTGCACCCAGGGAGCTTGTGTGGTGGGCCATGCCGAGACCATAACTTGATCGGCCCTTTCCCGTTTTAAAATCCCTTGGCTGACTTCCTCTCTATTTCTGAGGTCGTTGGAACTGTTTCCTGCCACTCAGTCTCCTATCCCCGCTTCCTTGCTTTTCATGGCTGATCTCGACGACTGCTTGAAACCTCCTTCAGTCCAGCTGAGGGGCTCTTGTGCCGTCAAATCCCTGCCAGCCGACCTAGACCGATGCCTTAAAATGGCTTCATGAAATGCTTAAAAGCCGCTTAGGGGTCCAGTGTATGAGTTCCCAAAACTGGCTTGCAGTGTCCTGTTGTCCTGCTGTTAATCCCCGGAGCTTCTTAAGATGTGCTCCGAGGTTTCCAGGCAGGACTCACCTTTGTTGTCTTGAAGAGCAGGCTTTACTCAGCCCGCCTCTCTGAATATCCTCCAGGCCCCCAGTAGGGCTCAGTCTCCAGAGGTCGCCATGACTTCCAGGGGCACACACACTCACATGTGCGCGCACACAGACACACACACGTAAAAATACCAAAAAAGATGGTTTTGGACTGGATGCTGGACAGCATTGGGGTCGGGTAGAAGGGAGCGTGGCAGGCCTCTGTGCTTTAGAGGAGACTTGTGTTTGTGGTCAGCAAGTCCTGTCCATGGCGAACGTCTGCGGGCAAGTTTTGGCTTCAGAAAAACAAAACTGGAGGGGAACCAGCATACATGAATGGGTACAAAGCACAAAAAACCGCTGGCTAAAGGTAAACAAAATATATATATATATATAAATAATAGTTAATGCTAAGTTCAGTAACTCAGAAATATAACTATATAAAGCCAAGGCGTTCTTGCAAGAAACAACAAATACACAGAAAGATAGAAAAAGAAAGTCCCAAATATTTCAGTGTGTCTCACTTCAGCCTATTGGTTTTGGGAAAGAATTATTTGAAACGCGGCAGCTTGCATCCGGACTCTGTGGCTTGCTCTCTCTATGGCTTATGGAATTCAAGAATGTTTGGATTATTCAGGAACTATGCGTGTCAAGCTGGACTGTGATCAATGTTCCCTGTAAGCTGAGTTATTGTGAGCTCGCTCACATTTTTTTAGCCTCCGACTCACAGATTTTGGTCTTAGCTCAGCAAGGATGGTTCCAGAGCAAACTGATTTATGCAGCAGTCAAATCACCTGCTCACAACTTTAATGCCGGTAGCTCACAAAGCAGAATTTTTGCTCACAAGACTCCACAGCTTAGAGGGAACATTGACTGTGATATTACAATACAACTGGAGTGAGACGCACTGAAATATTTGGGACTTTCTTTTTCTGTCTGTATATTTGTTGTTTCTTGCAAGAACACCTTGGCTTTATATAGTGATATTTCTGAATTACTGAACTTGGCGTTAAATATTATTCTTTTATTTTATTTATTTATATATATAGTTTATCTTTAGCCAGCGCCCCCCCCAGGAACTCGTGCGCCTCCTGCAGCAGACGGTCCGGTCGTCCCAGTACGACAAGTACTTCCCCGGCCACCTCTGCGACGTGAGCCCCAAAGGCCAGCTGGAGCTGCTGCGCCAGAAAGACCACCAGATCCTGGGCCTGAACGACCAGCTGGAGCGGCTGATGCTGGAGAAGGAGAGCCTGCGGCAGGAGGCCCGCAGCCTGAAGGGCACGGTCGGGGAGCTGAGCGAGCGGCTGGGCATGCTGATGGAGACCATCCAGGCCAAGGACGAGGTCATTGTGAAGCTCTCCCGGGAGCTGACCGAGTGCCAGGAGCAGGCCTCCAGCCCAAGTGGCGCAGCCCAGGCACCCGCGTCCCCCTCGGCCAACAGGGAGCTGCAGGAACTCGACCGGCTGAAGGTAGGGGCTGGATTCGCCTCCCTTCCCCCCTCCTCCCCGCAATCGATGCCCCTGCTGCTCGCTCCCCACCCCCCGCGTCCAGCAGCAGGTTTGTCAAGCGAATGTGTCGCTGTCTCCCCAACCCCAGTAATAGTTTGTGGGACAAGACTGGCCGTGTGGGACAGAGGGTGGCACCTTAGAGGTAGGAAAGGAAAAGCCCTCGTGGATGCGGCAACTCACGTTCTCCGTGGCCGGCTGGGCGGAAGGGGGAGCCGAACAGAAGGGGGGCGGGTGAGTCTTTGTGCCCAGGTCACAGTGGCTGCACTTTTCCAGCTGCCGTGTCGCGTGTCGGAAGAGTTCGTCAAGAAAAGGTGGTGGGATGGTTGGGGGGGGCAGAGGGGGTATGGCCTCCCTGGGTTCCTCCTCCTCCTCTCTCTGGCAGAGGAACTTGGACTGGGTCATGTCTGAACTGTACCGGAGGACAATTGCAGAACTGTACATATGAAGTTGCCTTGGACTGAATCAGAATGTCTGTCCGTCAAAGTCAGTATTGTCTGCTCTGACTGGCAGCCGCTCTCCAGGGTCTCAGGCGGAGGTCTTTCCCATCACCTCCTGCCTGGTCCTTTTCATTGGAGATGCCGGGGATTGAACCTGGGACCTTCTGCGTGCCAAGCAGAGGCTCTGCCACTGAGCCACAGCCCCTCCTTACAGCTCTTCAGGGTCTTGCCTGGGAGGTTTCCTCCTTGGCAGTGTGGTGTCTAATTGGGCTGGCCTGCGCTAGGCTCTGATCCTTGGCTCGGGCTCTTAATCCCGGAGTGGGGCATTTCAGCTGCCCACTGCCACTGTCCGCTTCCTGGTGTAGTGGTTAGGAGCGGCCGACTCTAATCTGGGGAACCAGGTTTGATTCCCCACTCCTCCACATGCAGCCAGCTCGGTGACCTTGGGTTAGTCACAAGTTCCTTCAGAGCTGTTCTCTCAAGGGCAGTCCTCAAAAGAGCTCTCTCAGCCTCACATAACCTCACGGGGTGTCTGTTGTGGGGGAGGGGGAGGGAAGGAGATTGTCAGCCGCTCTGAGACTCCGAGAGAAGTCTGAGACTCCGAATAAATCGAATGCTTCTTCTTCCTTCTCCTCCTCCTCCTCTTCCTCCCCCTCTTCTGCTTCGTCTTATTATCTCGGTGTGTTCTGGGGGACCTTCAGATCTTGCACTAAAAATGTTTCTGGAAGCCTTATTTCAGAAATGAAACTCTTAAGTAGTCTTGGAAGTGCAGAATGTCCTTGGGGAAAAAGACAAGCCGGCTCTCACTGACCCTAACATGAAAATTGAAAATAATTGGGGGGGGGAGGGAAGCGGCTCGGGAGAAGGAAACATTCTAAAGGCAAAGGAATCAGGTGTGTTGGAATTCACACCAAGTCCTGTTTCCCAGGAAAGTGGACGGACTGGCGATTAGCTTGCGCTCTTCTTGTGGTTATCGCTTTCCTGGCGGCAGGTTCTGGCCCATCGTATAGTAATTTTTAAAAACATGATCTGCTTGGCTTCCCCTCTTTTGTCCCTGAGCGTGCAGCTGCGTTGCAAAGCTTCAGCCAGCCGAGGTCTGGGTATTGCGTCATGTAGGCCTGACCCTTGTCTTGTCCGAAAAGTCCAGGGCACGTTAAGGACAAGACGCAGAATGGCACAAGTCCTGAACTGGTGCTGTGTCCTTTTTAAGCCTCAGTTGCAGGAGCAGGGATGAGACAGAAAGAAACCTTCAGTGAATGTGAGGGTCCGGCAGTGGAGACAAGGCCAGGGAGAAGAAGGGCCAGCACAAAGAAGGCAGCCTGCGGAACTGCATGGTTGATTCTTGCAGATGTGCCCGGGTAGACCCTGCGAGAGTGGCTGTCCATGCGAGAGAGGCTTTGGCTTGGGAGGGAAGGTTTGGCCCGGAGCCCAGAAGTGTTTCTGTATCCTGTCCTCACACCTGCGCGTTCTTCATGCAGTTCCCCTTTCTCGACAGGACAGTCTTCAGGGTTACAAAACCCAGAACAAATTCTTGAATAAGGAGATCCTGGAACTCTCCGCCTTGCGAAGGAACGCCGAAAACCGCGAGCGGGACTTGGTGGCGAAGGTCAGCTGCTCACCGCTTTTCTGAAATGCCTGAAATTCAGATGAGGAATCTAAAGAAACAATAATAATCCAAGGGATTGTGTTCTGCAATTGAAGCCGTCTTTTGGTGTCTCCTTCTCCGCAGTGCACCAGCCTGGAAGCCAAACTCTGCCAGGTGGAGAGCAAGTACTTAATCCTGCTTCAAGAAATGAAGACGCCGGTTTGCTCGGAGGGGCAGAGGCCCAACCACGACGTGGTCGCTCAGCTCCTGGAAGACGCCTTGCGAGTGGACACGAGCGACCAGCCGGAACAGACTGTGTTTAAGCCTCACCTGGTCAGGTAACCCTCGGGCCCCAGCTGACTTCCCGCCTGGCGCTTTGCTTAGGTACCCCAGCAGAGCTCCCTTTTGCTGCTTCGGAGTGCAGATCTCACAAACTCCCTCGGTAGCCTTCAGCCAAGCCGATCCCCTCCTTTGGAGTTGTTTGATCACACAGCCGACAGGATTCGAACACAGTGTCGTAGCTGCCCTGGAAAAACAGAAGCTTGTGTTTCAGTATGTCACAAATAAAATGTCTTGGTGGGCAGAGGGAATTCTCAATGACAATTATATTGATCTAAAACCTGCCTCGGATAGTTGATAGTGTGAATTCATCTAATCCAGAGTTAACCCTTGTTGCATTCACACTTGGCAAACACTGATGTGCTCCTTCACAATTGCAAGGAGCTGCCCCGACCTGGATAGGCCAGGACTCCTCCCTCATCACCTTCAACTGGTTCCTGGTGGTGTCCCTGGTCGCTTGGTCCCCGTAGACGTCGCCAGCGGTCGCCATGACTTCCAGGCACAGGCACACAAAATTCCCAAATTGCAAGGAACTTATGGCCGGCTTCAGGTGACTGTTTTGTACCTTGCTTGAGCATTTTTGCTCCCTGGCCAGGAGTCTCTCCGTTAATCCCAGCCTCTTCTCTCTTCTCTGACAGCGAATACGATGTTTACGGGTTTCGGACCGTCCCCGAGGACGACGAGGAAGAGAGGCTGGTCGCCAAGGTGCGGGCCCTGGACCTGAAGTCCCTCTCCCTGACGGAGAACCAGGAGACGTCCCTGGGGGTGAAGTGGGAGAACTACCTGGCCAGCACGGTCAACCGGGAGATGGTGCGCTGCGTGGAGCTGAAGAACCTCATCCGGTCGGGGATCCCCCACGCCCACCGCTCCAAGATGTGGAAGTGGTGTGTCGGCCTCCACGTCAAGAAGTTCAGGGACAGCGCCGAGCCGGGCTACTTCCAGAACCTGCTCCAGAACGCCCTGAAGAAGCAGAACCCGGCCTCCAAGCAGATCGAGCTGGACCTCCTGCGGACCCTGCCCAACAACAAGCACTACGCGTCGCCCACCTCTGAGGGGATCCAGAAGCTACGGAACGTCCTGCTTGCCTATTCGTGGCGGAATCCCGACATCGGATACTGCCAGGGTCTCAACAGGTGAGGGTCTTGAGCTGCCCCTCCCGTGCAGATTCCTGGTTGTGTTGCGGGAGTTGGCACATGGGTGTGTGTTTGTGTGTGTGTAGAACAAATTCAGAGTCCAGTGGGGCACCTTTAAGACCAACAAAGGTTTATTCAAGGTATGGACTTTCGTGTGCAGGCACACGTCTTCAAGTACAGTGGAATGGGAGGTGAGGTTCAGACATATAGGTGGGCTGAACAGCGAATTAACGTGTAACTTGATGAAGATGTTTTAAGCTGTGCAAAAACCGAATTAAATAGCAAACTAAGGTTATAAGGCCAACAGTCGTAAAGCAATAAATATATCAAAATAAATCTGAGACTCTCAGTTTTGAAAAGGTATTTGAAAAAGCGTGCGTGCCCACGAAAGCGCACACCTGGAATAAACCTCGGTTGGTCTTAAAGGTGCCCCACTGGACTCTGAATTTGTTCTACTGCTTCAGACCGACACGGCTGACTACCTCTGTGTGTGTGTGTGTTGGTGTGCATGGCTGTATTAAATTGGCGCCTCTGTGTTCCAGCAGCCCCTCTCTTCTCCCCTTTCCCACCAGACCGGTGGGTGGGCTCTGGCCTTTATTCTGCGCCCGGTCAATTACAGTTTTTCTAACCACTTGTGGCAAGGGGGCGGGGCTATGTGAGAAAGGGCCTTTTCAGTGGCAGCCCCGCGATTACAGCACAACCTTCCCAGCGAGGTACGCCCGGCTCCCTTACTTTCGATCTTTAGGAGGCAGCTGGAGATCGTTTTGTTGAGGACCATACTTGATTACTTTACTCACTTTGATTTGATTACTTTCAATTTTTAGGAGGCAGTTTTTATTTAGGACTGCATTTGGTTAAGTTTACGACCAGTCTGGAGTTGTGATTTTTTAAAATTTTGGTTTTTATATTTTTAGTGTATTTTATTTTATACGCTGTAAACCACCTTGAGCTCTGAGAAAGCCAGCTAATGAATGTTGCAGTGGAGGGAAAGAATTCTAGAAGGGCATCTTGCCCTAGCTAGATGTTCTGCCTTTCCATCTGGCAGATGGAATTCAAGGCAGGAATTCAAGGCAGGAATTAGATTCAGGTCGGGTCGCTGTGTTGGTCTGAAGCGGCAGAACCAAATGTGAGTCCAGTCAGGCACCTTTAAGACCAACAAAGCTTTATTCAAGGTGTGAGCTTTGGTGTGCAGGCACAAATACCATTTGAAAAAGTGCGCCATGCACACAAAAGCTCAGACCTTGAACAAACCTTTGTTGGTCTTAAAGGTGCCTGACTGGACTCACATTTGGTTCTGCCGCTTCAGACCAACACAGCGACCCGACCTGAATCTAATTCCTGCCTTGAATTCCTGCCTTGAATTCCATCTGCCAGATGGAAAGGCAGAACATCTAGCTAGGGCAAGATGCCCTTCTAGAATTCTTTCCCTCCACTGCAACATTCATTAGCTGGCTTTCTCAGAGCTCAAGGTGGTTTACAGCGTATAAAATAAAATACACTAAAAATATAAAAACCAAAATTTTAAAAAATCACAACTCCAGACTGGTCGTAAACTTAACCAAATGCAGTCCTAAATAAAAACTGCCTCCTAAAAATTGAAAGTAATCAAATCAAAGTGAGTAAAGTAATCAAGTATGGTCCTCAACAAAACGATCTCCAGCTGCCTCCTAAAGATCGAAAGTAAGGGAGCCGGGCGTACCTCGCTGGGAAGGTTGTGCTGTAATCGCGGGGCTGCCACTGAAAAGGCCCTTTCTCACGTAGCCCCGCCCCCTTGCCACGAGTGGTTAGAAAAACTGTAATTGACGGGGCGCAGAATAAAGGCCAGAGCCCACCCACCGGTCTGGTGGGAAAGGGGAGAAGAGAGGGGCTGCTGGAACACAGAGGCGCCAATTTAATACAGCCATGCACACCAACACACACACACAGAGGTAGTCAGCCGTGTTGGTCTGAAGCAGTAGAACAAATTCAGAGTCCGGTGGGGCACCTTTTTTCAAGGACAGCTCTGACAGAACTATGGCTTGCCCAAGGTCATCCAGCAGCTGCGAGTGGAGGAGTGGGGAATCAAACCGGGTTCTCCCAGATTAGAGTCCGCACACCTAACCATGACACCAAACTGGAGGGCAGGGAAGCTCTCTGCTGGATCAAGCCAAGCTGTGTCGGTCCTGCCCCTCGCTTGGTCCCCAGTGCCGATTCTAACCATTTTCCGGAACTCTTCCCCGGGGATTGTTCATTTCTTTTTTCCTTTCTCTCTTTCCAGACTGGCAGCAATTGCCCTTCTCTACTTGGAGCAGGAAGACGCTTTTTGGTGCCTTGTGACAATCGTGGAAATCTTCATGGCTCGGGACTATTACACGAAAACCCTCCTCGGGTCCCAGGTAGGGAGCACAGGAAAGCGCCCATTCCGCCCCTTAAGGCAGGAGAGGCACCAGGGCTGGAGCAGAGTGCAGACTGCGGCGGGGAGCGTTGCCTGAAAGAACGCTTCTCTGCGCTAGAATTTTCTCTCTCAATGAGACACCTGCTTTTACACCCTTATATTGTGTTTTTAAAACATTTCTGTCCTGCTTTTCTTCCCGATCAGGGACCCAAAGCGGCATTTCCACGTGGTTTCCCTCCACTGAATCTTCACCACAGCAGCCTTGTGAGGGTGGGCTCAGCTGAGAGATTGTGACAGGCCCAAAGTCACCTGGCAGGCTTCCTGGGGTGAAGGAGGGATTCGAACCCAGCCGTCCTTGGTCCTAGTTTGACACTCTAACTGCTACGGCACACCAGCCACATTGGTTTCCTTGTGTCTGGAATTGCCTCCCAAAAAAGACTTGTGTGACACACACACACCGACACACACACACTCGCCCTTTGGGCAAGCCTTTGGCATACGCCTTCTGATGTCAGGGGGAAGCGTGAGTCGCTGGGAGGGGAGTGCGTGCCCGTCCCACGTTCACCCCCACCTTTGCCTGCCTTCCCCCTCTCTCTCCGTTGCCTCCCTCAGGCCCCATTTGAGAGTGGTAGCTCCTTGGGGCAGGGGCCTCTCATCTGGTACCCTGTGAAGTGCCATGCCCATGTATGGAGGGACAGAAAATGCCCCCTTGAAAATGAGTCTACAGGGGAGTAACCCAGGCGGGAGCCCTTTGTGCTGATTCTCCTCTTCTGTGTTCACGGGACCCTCCCTCCCTTTCTCTCCCCTCCCCCTCCCTTTCTCTCTTTCTCCCTTCCTTCCTTTACTTATTTCTTTCTTTCATTTTCTCTCATTTTCTCTCATTCTGTCTCTCTCTCTCTTCCTTCCTTTACCTATTTCTTTCTTTTTCTTTCTTTCTTTCTTTCTTTCTCTCTCTCTCTCTCTCTCTCTCTCCCTCCCTCTCTCTCTTCCTTTACTTCTGTCTCTCTTTCTCTCTCTCTCCCTCCCTGTCTCTCTCTTCCTTCCTTCCTTCCTTCCTTCCTTCCTTCCTGGAGGAGCTGTGAACCACGTGAGCGCCCCCTGCAGGCTGAAGTGGTGCAGTCCCAGCACAGGCCTCCCACAGTGGATGGTGCTTTGCAGGGGGGAAAGGCTTTGCCCCAGTCGGATGCGTCTCTCAGCTGCTTACTCTGAAAGCCACTTTGTTGACTTAAGAGCTGCGACGGGAACAAGTGGGAAGGCTTGTGGTTTCAGCAGGGCACTTGAGCCAGGCCTTGGTGTGAAAGAGTGGGCGGCTGTTAACTTTTCTGGCCTTGGAGGCTCTTGGCAGGTCAGCCGGCACCTCCCAGAGCACAGTGCAAATACGACGACGCTGACGCTCTGAAGTGTGCTTTGTCTGTTTGCAGCCACATGGTGGGAGGAGGAATGGCTCCCACGATGGCTATTCTAGGCCCCGAACGCTGACTTTTCAAGATCACAGTGCTTTCTATTTGGGGGGTTGTTCGTAGGTTAGGTGTCGGGGGGGGGGGGGGCAAGTAGGTCTCTAGGAATTTTACTTATGGAGGAAACCGAGCTGGTAGGATTCCTCTGCAAGATTTGCACCCGGTCCCCTTTTCCTAGTGTCCTGGCAAAAGCAGTTTGGATGCTTTGACAAGTGCTTGCTGTCCCCCCCCCCCTTTTCTTTGAAGCAATCAGACAAATGATGCACTTCACATTTAAAGCAGTTTGGCTGTTTCTCTGTGTACAGCCTTTGCCCACTAGGAGCAAAATGAAGCCTGAAAATAGCAAAAAGTTCATAGTAAACGCAAAGTGTTGTTTGCTGTCTTAACGGAGCAAGCAGCGTGTCTGATCCGGCAGGGCTGTTCAGATGTTCTTGCTCCGAGTAGCTCCTGTGCCCGCTTTTCTTGGTCCTTCCGATGCTGCGCAGCATCTCTTGAGAACCCCCACCTTCTCCCCTCTTTCTTGCACTGTGTGTGTCCAGGTTGACCAGCGAGTCTTCAAGGACCTGATGAGTGAGAAGCTGCCGCGGCTGCACGCCCACCTGGAGCAGTACCGGGTGGACTCCTCCCTCATCACCTTCAACTGGTTCCTGGTGGTGTTCGTGGACAGCGTGGCCACCGACGTCCTCTTCAAGATCTGGGACTCCTTTCTGTACGAGGGGCCCAAGGTACGGGTGGGGATGGTGCGCGTGAGTGTGTGCGGCTGCGGGAGCCTTCCTGCGCTCAAGGTAGTCGCTTGGGGCACACGTGGCAGAGGGCGTCTCATCAAGGGTGTTTGTCTCCCGCTCTCATTGCGTGTGTGTGTACAGAGCCGTCAAGTCACAGTTGACTTACGGTGACCCCTGGTGGGGATTTCAGGGTAAGAGATGTTCAGTGGTGGTTTGCCCCTCCCTGCCTCTGTGTCGTGACCCTGGTATTCCTTGGAGGTCTCCCATCCAATGTCCCCTCTATGCTGTGAAGTCTTGTGAGCAAAAATTCTACTCTGTGAGCCACTGGCATTAAAGTTGTGAGCAAACGATTTGGCTGCTGCATAAGTTAGTCTGCTCTGGAGCCATCCTGCCTGAGCTAAAACAAAAAATTGTGAGCCGGAGGCTAAAAAAACGTGAGCTAGCTCACAGTAACTCAGCTTAGAGGGAACATTGCTCCCCTCCCAATATTAGCCAAGGCCGCCCCTGCTTAGCTCCCGGGATTGGGCTAACCTGTGCCGTCCAGATCAGAGCAGCTGCCTACTGGGGGGAAACCCGGTGGGGATTTCAAGGGAAGAGACGTTCAGCGGTGGTTTGTCTTTGCCTGCCTCTGCGTAGCACCCTGGACTTCTTTGTGTTGGCCGACGCCGTCATGGGTGCTTTCTGGTTTCTTTCCCATCCTCCGCCTCCTCTCTCCGGCCCTGGCCCTCCCGCTCACCTTGGTGTATGCACTCCTGGCTCTTTCCTTATGTCGGCTCTGTCCTTGAAGCCCCACCCCGCCGTGCCATTTTTGCTCACTGGGAGCCGTGAGACGTTTTACTTTGGGCACGCTCAGGTGCCCTCCTTATTGGTCTCTTGCCATCGGGGGCCCCAGTACGAAATGAGTATAATCATCTGGCTTCCCGCTAATCCCCCATTCCCAACACAGAGCGTGTTGAGCCGTGACCTAAGTACCACTGTCAATAAACTGAACTTCCTTGAAGGACTGTTGTTGAGTGTGTTTGACTTGGGACTCTGACACTTTCTTGGTCTCCCGTCCCAGTACGAAGCCAACCCTGCTGAATTTCTGAGATCCAACAAAATCAGGCTAGCCTGGTCTAGCCAGGTCAGGACAAAAGACAAACAGAGGCGGTTTGCCCTCGCCTGCCTCTGCGTAGCAACCCTGGACTTCCTCGGTGGTCTCCCATTCAAGGACTAACCAGGCCTGATCCTACTTAGCTTCCAAATTCTGATGAGCATTAGGCAAGCCTGGTCTAGCCAGGTCAGAAAAAAAGACAAACAGAGGTGGTCTGCGATCGCCTGCCTCTGCGTAGCAACCCTGGGCTTCCTTGGTGGTCTCCCATCCAAGGACTAACCAGGGCTGACCCTACTTAGCTTCTGAGATCTGAGGAGATTGGGGCAGCCTGGGCCATCCGGCCTTCCTTAACATCGTGAGATGTCCCAAACTAGGGTTGCGATACAGAGGGAAGTTCTTTTGTGCCTGTATCGAAGAGTATCCCGAGGGCCGTGGCTAACAATCTTTCTGGAGAGGCTCAGTCATCGGGAGTCCTGAGCAGTGCCTCCCTCTCAGCTATGGAGTCTTGTGAGCAAAAATCCTACTTTGTGAGCTGGTGGCATTGAAGTCGTGAGCGAGCGGTTTGGCTACTGCGTAAACTAGGTTGCTCTGGAGCCCTCCTTCCTGAGCCAAGACCAGAATCTGTGAGCCGGAGGGTAAAGAACTGTGAGCCGGCTCGCACTAACTCAGCTTAGAGGGAACACTGGTCCTGACTGTTAAACTGGGTGAACAAAACACTCTGCCTCGAAGGAAACTGGCAAATAACAGTAACCAGAATTGTATGAATTCTGCATCACTGCAAAACTAAATGCCCTGCAAATCTCAGCTTTCAATGCTAGGAGCCGGGCAGTACCTGGCGAAATGGGCAGAAGTTGGTGGTTGGGTGTGTGTATGAATGGCACATGTTTTGTAGGTGAGGGTGGGAGAGACCCCAGGGCAGTGAAATGTGGCATTTTCTGTCCCTGCCATGCGGCCAGCTCAAGTCCCCGGGATCTGGGAAGCTCCCCCCCCCTCCGAACTCACGGGTTGTCATCATCCCCTCCAGGTAATCTTCCGCTTTGCCTTGGCCCTCTTCAAGTTCAAAGAGGAGGAGATCTTAAAGCTGCAAGACTCGACATCCATTTTCAAGTACCTCCGGTACTTCACGCGCACGATCCTCGACGCCAGGTGAGAAAGCTGCTTGGCTGGTCAAGAAGGGCCGCTTTAACTTCTAACCCTGCAGATTCAAGGAGACAATACTAAGTCTGATGCAGAGCCGGGGGGTGGGTGGGTTAGAATTTCATTAGATATCAGGATGATCAGGGGTCTGGAGATTGAGCCCTACGAGGAAGAAAGGGACCCCGTCCCTGGGACTTAACACAGTCTTAACAACAGAGCCCCCTGCAGCAGAGCAATGCCTCCCTCTCAGCTGTGGAGTCTTGTGAGCAAAAATCCTGCTTTTTTAGCTCCTGGCATTAAAGTGAGCGAGCTGATTTGGCTGCTGCATCCATTAGTTGGCTCTGGAACCACATCCTTCCTGAGCTGAGTCAAACGTGTGTGAGCCGGAGGCCAGAAAACTGTGAGCTAGCCCACACTGACTCAGCTTAGAGGGAACACTGCAGCAGCGCTCTCTTCCTCCATCCCCTGCCCCCACGAGGACTGGCTGAGGCCGTGAATACAGGGATGGGGTGGGTGTGTTTTGAAGCTGCTTGGTCTGCCTTTGGGGGTGGGGAGACCCCAGCCCAGGTCCCAGGCGCTCACCGGCGGCCGTGCTCTTCTTCCCAGGAAACTCATCAGCATCGCTTTCGGGGACCTGAACCCCTTCCCGCTGCGCCAGATCCGGAACCGGAGGGCCTTCCACCTGGAGAAGGTCCGCCTGGAGCTGATGGAACTCGAAGCCATCCGGGAGGACTTCTTGCGCGGGCGGGAGACTGACCCCGACAAAAGGGACCTCATCAGCGACGACGAAGAAGACGGCTGAGGCCCCCCGGGGGGGGCCTCCCTCCCTCTTCAGCCGAGACTGTCCTCGGGATTGTGACCAAAGCCTCTGGGGGTGTCGCAGCCTCCTGTCCGCCTGTCTCTCTCTCTGTATCTTAATGTTTCTTCGTGGTAAGCCACGGCGGCTGGAGATTTGCAGGACAGGTTTCCGCAGCTCAGCACTTGGAGGCCAAAATGGGCCTGTCTGTCCCCCACTCCCCCCGCTCAGGGGCCAAACGGTTCTGTCCACAGGCAGGCCACTTGAGGCAGCTTCTCTTTCGGTCTTACCGCCCATCCTTTGCCATTGAACTGCCCATGGAAGGAGCAGTTGTGAAAAGCCTGTGTGTGTGTGTGTTGGGGGTGAGCATTTGCACGTGCCTTTCCCATTCCCCCCTCACCCCAAAACTCCTCCGCGTTCTGCCTGCTTCCTGCTCACTTTCTTCCTCCTCCCTTCGGCCACGATGAGCGGACGTGTTGGAGAAGTCCCTAGTCCGCCTTTGGCATCATTGGGTTAAGTAAAAAAGGCAAACAAACCCCAAGGAGGCTCCTTCCCTCGGCCACTTGAAGGGCTGGCCTCTCAGCCCGGTTTGTTCTCAAATCGGCACAAACACTGGTGGCGAACGGGGGTTGGCACGTGAGCTTTAAAGCCGGGGGGGACGTGGCAGGGTGCCCGGGGCTGGCTGGGTGCTGCGTTTTTTTTCTGTCAAGGGTCACAACGTTCTGAGTGTCCACTGTGTCGCTCCCAGTGGCTCTTTCTCTCGCAGGAGTCGGGGGGGGGGGGGGGTTAACGTGCCCCAGGACAGTTTGCAGACGACGACGGAGGCGCGTAGCAGAGAGGTAAGGCCGCATTCCTGTCTCCGTGACGTGAAAGGCCAGGGGAAGGGCTAGCGTACTCGGGTTGAGGAAGACGGGGGCTTCTCCTGGGGACAGCTGCTCCCTCCGGGGCAGAGCGAGGCACGCCTGGGCCCTGGCTGCATGACTCCAGTACCACAAAGCACGGGGGGCGGTTTGTTTCAGGGCACAGCCCTGCTGGCCGGGGTGGGGGCGAGGGGGGCCTCTTCTCCTGTCTGCTCCCTCGGCCTCCTGGGGCTGGCCTTGGGTAGCTCACGGCACGGTGGGCCTGTCGCTTCTTGGCCAAAGGGACCGTAACGTCGCCTGCAGAAGTACTGCAAGTCGGCTCAATTCCGTGCCACCAGAGGGCACTTGCCAGAAACCCCGCAGCCGATGGTTCTGTGTCCACTCGCTTTCCATCAGAGGGAAAACACATTTTGTGAAATAACAAAAGGAGAACCAAGAATGTTTGTTTGCTCGGCCGGCTTAAGAGTCTGAGATTGAATTTCTGAAGACGTGGGCATTTCTTTTCCTTTTCGCACTTGTAAAAGCATTCCACGGCAAGGTCTCACGCTGAGAGAGGCGAAAAAAACAGAGGGTCTTGGTGCTGTGATCTTGGCGGAGGCCGGTGTTGCCTCGGGCAAAGCCAGAGAAAATCCCCTCCACTGGTTTGTTGCTTCGGGGTGGGTGTCCTGGGCTGCCTGGAATTGGCTCCTCCTCCCCTCCCTTCTGGGGGTGCGGCCTGAGAGCAGGTCTGAAGAATCCTTCCCTTGCCGTCTCTTCCCACCCCCGCCCACCCCCCAGTTGCTGGAACCTTTGCTTGGTTTCCAGGCACAGGTGTGCAGTGGGATCAGGGTGTGCTACCAGAGGGCCATTTCCTCCTGCGCTAGAACATGCAGAGCCTGTAGGGCAGCTTGTGGCACGGCTGGGAAGGAGGAGAGCGCCTCGTGTGACATCGGCCGGCGCCTTGTGGGTCAGGGCCTTTCTGCTGAGCGCAGCCATTCTCTTTCTCGGGCGTGTCGCCGGTTGGAGTTCGGTGAGTTGCGCAGCAGTGCTGGGTATCGCAGGCAGGTCTGGCTGAGTTCCAGTTGGAATGTCTGTGTCCCCATGTGCCGCATCAGCCTTTTTCTAATCAAACCAGGAGTGCTGGCGGTTGTGCCGCCCTGTGCCGGCTTTGTGTGGCATGCGCCAGCTTGGCTCCAGTGCTGGCTGGATGCATTGCCGCCCCCTCCCGCGACCGGCGCCATCAGCAATTCAGATGAGGTGGGCAGGGCCTGACCCCCACCATGGGGTGGACGTGCCTATCCAGCGCTGAGGCTCCTGGGTGTTCCAGAGCGCTCCCCTTCTCTTGTCCTTGAATTCTGTGGTGGGAAGTGTGTATGTGCGTCCGTGTGCCCATCATATCGTAGCCTGCCCCGTCATTCCCACTCGCAGAAAGCGATGGGACCCCTCGGGTGATAGGATGGTGTCCGTCTCCCGAACCTTGTTTCGAAGAGCTGGTCTCAAATCCCGGTCTGCGATCAGGCAGTGGCTTAGTTCCACTCTCCCTCGCTCTCAGGAATCAACCTCTTGTCTTCCTTGAACTCGCTAGCCTAGATGGTGTTTGGGCACCTCCGACGACGTGATTGTGAAGTTCATTCCAGCCCACAAATGTGCATGAGCGTGGAGGGGGACCCCCCTTCCCTTTCCCGGGGCCAACGGTTCTTCCACATTCCTCTCGCAATTGCCCTCACCGTGTTGCAGTCTTGAAGCTTCTTGGCCCAGCCGTTCAGCCATTCCGACTGAGGGCGTCTGTTTTTCTCCGCAAAGGAAAGTGTCTGTCCTACCTGAACTCTCTTGGGACGGGGTCCCAACACATCCCCCCCCCCATATGGGCCCTTGCCTGTCTTTGACAGAGTGACACGAATCACCTAGAGAATTGAGAATCGGGCTTGCGGGGTTCTTTTGCAAGGCACGGAATTCCATGGGGTGTTTCCAATGGAAGCAAGCGGTCGTTGCGAGAGTCCCCCGTACATATCCGAAAACCGAGGCACGAAGAGCAGAGAGGCTGAAGAAGAACAGTTGACACAGCCAGTGACTTTAATCCATCTTTTCCCTCCTAGAATTTGATGTTTTTTTCTAGCTTCTTTCCCCCCCCCAGGTCTCATTTACCGCAATGAGCTTTCCCTATGCCTTCTTTTTTTGTAAAGAATTTCAGAACGTCTTACATATTATATATGCAAAACTATCTTATGCATGGTTTCTGTTTAAGAATTGTATATCCAAACCACTTGAGGTCACTTGTGGAACGGTTCGAAGCTGGGCGGGTTGGTCTGTTTTTTTGTTGTTGTTGTCGTCGTCACACTAAAGCGGAGATTGTCGGGCACGACACGCTCTGCTCTGGCTGAAGTGGCACAAGTGGACTTTCCGTCTGCGGATGGTCTCCGAAGGGAGCGTCCCCGAACTGCCCTCCTCAAGCGAAGAAAAAGAGGCGTGCCGGAGCCGACCTTTTCGTGGGGATGCCCAGCAGGGAGTTCCCCCGACATTCACTGAGATCAGAAAGAGGTTCCTCTGTTTCCCTTTTACGCTGCGCTGGTCTCTACATTGTGAGCAAGATCAATTAGCAGTTTGTGATGGGCGGCGGGGATGCCCGTCTCGGATGGAGAAGTTTCCCTCCTTGGTGAACCTCCTCCCGGTCCAAGTCTCGACCTCTTTTTTTCCCTGGGAAGCGCTGTTTCAGAAACAGCCCAGGGGTGCATAGCACAACACAAGGGTTACGGTTACAAAAATGCAAACCGTTTCTGCTGGAGATTCTTTGTAAAACCGAGCAAAAAAATTAAACCATTACTTTTTTGTTGTTTTTTGGTCTTCGTTATTTTCTTCCCCCCTTGGAGAGAATGACCGGTTGCGGCGAAACCTTTTGTGGCTCTTACAAGCCCTGTCCTTGCTCTGAAATAGGAGCTAGCAAGCCCTGCGGAGGCTCATTGGGTGGGAGGCTGGCTCCAGCAAAGCTCAGGTGTGCTGCCTGGGAGCCAGTTTGGTGTAGTGGTTGGGAGCGCGGGCTCTAATCTGGGAGAACCGGGATTGATTCCCCACTCCTCCTCCACATGCAACCAGCTGGGTGACCTTGGGTCAGTCACAAGTTCAGAGCTGTTCTCTCAAGGGCAGTCCTAGAAAGAGCTCTCTCAGCCCCATCTACCCCCCAGGGGTGTCCGTTGTGGGGAAGGGAAGGCGATTGTAAGCTGCTCTGAGACTCCTTTGGGTAGTGAAGGGTGGGGTAGAAGAAGAAGATTGGATTTCTACCATTATAAATCCAGTCTCCTCCTCTTCTCTCTGCCGGAGGAAAGGAGCAAGAGAACTCCTGTCCTTCCGTTGCATCCTGTCAGTGAGCTGGAAGCAAGATTGCGTCTGCCTCGGTAGTTGAAAGTGGCATTTCATGCTTGAGGCAGTGCCCGGGGGACCAAGACACGGCTGTGCTCTGCAGCGTTCCTTCCAAACAGCAAATTACAGGGTGAGCACAGGGAGTGATTGGACAACAACAGTGACGTCCTCTCCTCCGACAAATTCTTGACCCCTGCATTTTTGGGCTACCATTTGTCAGTAGGGGGCGATATCCGAAGCTAAATGAGAAAGGCTCTCAGCCGGGGTGGCCAAACGTGCTCAGCTTAAGAGCCACATAGAATAAACGTCAGATGTTTGCGAGCCACAAGACACGAGCAAATATCACATGTTTTTCTTTTAAAACATGCAAATTTGCTTTTTATTAGCATTAAACGAGACTGCCAAAAGTAAAAGGGGTAAAAACAGTCTGTCTGTTTTTGTCCAACAATATTTGTTTGCTAATGATATTTATTTGTCTGAGAGAGAGGGAGAGAGAGAGGGAGGGAGGGAGATGGAGAGAGAGAGAGGTGGAAAGAGAGAGAAACAAAGAAAGCAAATGGGAGGGAGGGAGGGGGAAGGAAGGAAGGAAGGAAAAGCACGCCTCCCCTTCGCTTCCCCAGCTTGCCCTGCCAGGAGCTACACAATATGTGTGAAAGAGCTGCATGTGGCTCCCGAGCAGTGTTCCCTCTAAGCTGAGTTAGTGTGAGCTAGCTCAGAGTTCTTTAGCCTCCAGCTCACACATTTCTGTCTTCGCTCAGGGAGGACGGCTCCAGAGGAAACTAATTTATGCAGTGGCCAAATCGCCCGCTCACAAAGTAGAATTTTTGCTCACGAAACTCCACAGCTTAGAGGGAGCGTTGCTCCCGAGCCGCAGTTTGGCCACCCCTGTTCTAAGCCATCTTTGGATTCCACTAAAGGTGAGACCCTTCGATCCGCCTCTTGCTTAGCAGTGGTTCTTGGGCTGTCTCCCATCCTGTTAACGGGAACCGCCAAGAGCCAGTTTGGTGTAGTGGTTAAGTGCGCGGACTCTAATCTGGGAGAACCGGGTTTGATTCCCCACTCCTCCACTTGCACCTGCTGGTGTGACCTTGGGTCAGTCACAAGCTCTGGCACAGCTGTCCTTGAAAAAGAGCAGTTTGTGTCAGAGTTCTCTCAGCCCCACCCACCTCACAGGGTGCCTGTTGTGGGGAGGGGAAGGAGATTGTCAGCCGCTATGAGACTCCCAAGTGAAGGGCGGGGTATAAATCCAATCTCTTCTCCTCTTCTTCTTCAAGGCCTGCCACGCCCGGGGTCTTCTCCATGTAAAGCCCTCCGAGTTGTGGCCCTTTCCCTGAGCGTGCGGCTTTCCAGTTTCACGAACAATTCCTAGTTCTTGGGAGTGCTTCAGAAACAGACAACAGGGAGACGGCCACTCACTCTTCTCAGATAAGACGTAATCGAGGGGGAAACGGGCCGGGTAGGAGGCCGACGGGTGCAGAGCAGGGGGCAGAGAGGCTCTGAGCACAGATGGAGCGGGGTGGCTGGCCGGGGTCCCGGCTATCTGGCCCATGGCAGCAGTTCCACCCAAGGCTGGAAGGAGTCGAGTGGGAGAAGTCTCAGCTCTGGGGGGGTGACCCAGGGAGGCAGGGGAGGCTGTGCAGTGAACCTCACCCCCCACTCCCGAAACCAGGCTTGGCTAGGGAGTGAGAGCTCATTTCCTCTTCCTTCCCGGCCTGGCGGAGTCAGGAATGTGCGGCTTGTGCGGCTGTTTGTGGGGTCGAGGGACACCCAGATGACTGGAATGCAGATCTGTCCCACTGTTTCAGCCCACGGCGAGCTTTGGGAGTGTTGATTAGAGAAATCGATGCACAGTCAACTAAACATTAAACCGAAGAAATTATGTCCAGGCTGAAACGGCTGCTGCAGCTGCAAAACAAGGCACTTTATTATTAGATAATGGCTACTAGATAAGTTATTAGATAACCCTGCTGTCTATTAGTTACCTATTATAAAGTGCCTTATTAAGACAGCACCCCCAGTAGAGCGCCCCCAGAGGCCCAGTGAGGGGTGGGCTGGACGGCTTCGAACGCTTTCCTTCTTCGAATCAGAGTCCTGCCAAGCCAAACATTAAATGTCACCGTTAAAAGAGGGCATATCTGCTGCCAGGTGGTATTCTCTCATCTAGGGTGGGCAGTGGCTCAGTAGCACAGCTTTACTTCCAGAAGGTCCCAGGTTCAATCCCCGGCATCCCCACTTAAGAAGGACCAGGCAGTAGGTGATGTGAAAGACCTCTGGAGAATTGCTGAGACCCTGGAGAATTGCTGCCAGGACCCCATACTGACCTGGATCGATCAGTAGTCTGCTTGGTGTGCAGAAGATCTCCGGTTCAATCCCCGGCATCTCCAATTAACAAGGACGAAGCAGTAGGTGATGGGAAAGACCTCCACCTGAGACCCTGGGGAGCGGCTGCCAGTCTGAGTAGGCAATGCTGACTTTGATGGACCAAGGTTCTGATTCCGAATTAGGCAGATTTAATGTAGAGAGGGCCCATGGGTCATTCATCTCCATCTGCTTTGCCTGCAGAAGGGAGCAGGAAGCAGGTGATGCAAAGGACCTCCGCCTGAGACCCCGGAGAGCGGCTGCCAGTCTGAGTAGACAACACTGACCTTAATCTACCAAGGGTCTGTTTCAGTACAAGGCAGCTTCATGGGTTTGGAAGATTGGGGAGGGTCTTTAAGGTGCCCCTGGACCCAACTCTAGGTGTTCTATTGCAGACCAGCACTGACTTATGACAAGTGACGCACGTTTCTCCAGCAGCCGGATTCTGGGCCCGCTGTCACCTTCCGTGGCCATCCTCCCCTTGTGGGGGGCTGAGCCGTCCCCTCGCTGCCGGATTCCTCCGGTCTGATGCTGTTGCCAGAGAGCCAGCCCAGCCCTCGGCCCGCATCTCAGCTCCATGCGCCTCCGGCCGAGCCCTTGGAGCCTGTGAATGGCGTGGGGTCCTCCCTCGTGCACTTCCTCCCCGGGGGCAGAGGCCAAGACCGGCCGGGCTGTCCCTCCTGCCGGGGTCCGGCCGGGGCTTCCCTTTCCTTGCCGCAGCAATCGACTCTCTTCCTGGTATTGTTTCGAGCCACCTTTGGGTTCACGGGTTGCAAAGGCTGCCCTCGGCCCCGGGAGTAGAACATGGGCTGCGGTTATCCAGGGCACGGGGAGCCACCGGGAAGAAGCTGAGCCTTCTCGTTTCTCTGGTCGTGGGCCCAGGTTCCTTCACAGCCAGACCGCCCGCCAGCCCTCGGGCTCCGAGAGAGGCACGGATCCAGAATTTTTCTTGTGTCACTCTCCATGTGTCGGGCAGCCTGCGTTCTTGAGCTACGTACGGGGGGCTCACCATGGCCTTGATGCACTGGGGACCAGTGTTCCCTCTAAGATGAGTGAGTGTGAGCTAGCACACAGTTTTTTAGCCTCCAGCGCACAGATTTCTGTCTTCGCTCAGGAAGGATGGGGCTCCAGAGCAAACTAATTTCTGCCGTAGCCAAATCGCTGGCTCACAGCTTTAATGCCAGCAGCTCACAAAGTAGAATTTTTGCTCACAAGACTCCACAGCTTAACGGGAGCATTGCTGGGGACTGATAGAATCACAGAGTGGGAAGGGGGGACCTCCAGGGTAATCTAGTCCAACCCTCTGCAGAATGCATGAAATTCACAACTACCTCCCCATCCACACCCACAGTGACCCCTGTTCCATGCCCAGGAGATGACAAAAAACCTCCAGGATCCGTGGCCAAACTGGCCTGGAGAACAATGGCTTCCTGACCCCAAAGTGGTGATCAGCATTTCCCTGGGTGTGGACTCATAAAATCACAGAGTGGGAAGGAGGACCTGCAGGGTCATCTAGTCCAACCCCCTCCAGAATGCAGGAAATTCACAAATACCCCCAGTGAGCCCTGTTCCATGCCCAGACGATGGCAAAAAACCTCCAGGATCCCCGGCCAAACTGGCCTGGAGAAAAATGGCTTCCTGGCCCCAAAGTGGTGACCGGCATTTCCCTGGGCGTGTCAGAAAGGGCCCCAATGAGAACTAAGCCCTGAGGCAACCCTTCCTGCCCTCCCTCTCAGGATCTGCCCAAGTCCACAGGATCCGCATGGCTGTCAGATGGCCATCAAGCCTCTGTTTGAAAACTTCCAGAGCAGGAGCACCCA